TTGTATTACTAAAGAGCCTGTTAAACTTGTTTAAACATTTTATGAGGACTTTTTTTTGCACAACCAGGTGCTGAAGCTTGAATATGCGCTGTCTGACTCACTTGTATAACTAGGGTTGGCTTTCTGTTTTCAATGACGTTTTTAAAGATACTACTTTGACGAAGTTGCTGGAACTTTTTTGTTTTCACCAACTTTAAACTTAATAAATTCCATCAAAAACAAAACAAACAAAAAATTGTGATAATCTCTTCCAGATTTACAGTATCACAGCCTTCTGTGCTGACTCATGCGTCTGATGAAGTGGGTATTCACCCACGAAAGCTTATGCTCCAATATGTCTGTTAGTCTATAAGGTGCCAGAGGACTCTTTGTCATTTGTCGAAGGTGCAAATATTCTGAAATTCAAAGTTGGTCAGACAACCTTGTGCTCTGATCCCGCACATGCTTTCCAATGGGGGTCTGGCCACGTGTAGTCATTACAGATTCATTGGCACTTTTTCTAAGAGTGGGAGAGCTATTCTTGCTGTCTTGGTCAAATTCCAGCTCTGGTCATTGGTTTCTCTCTACCCAAACGTCCCTTGCAGTTTCAATAGGAAAAGGTATTCTTCACTGTTTAACAGCCCACAGCAATACCACACAATGTTTTAGGACAAGTTGTGAAGAGACCTTTACCTCATTAGAGCTGCAGGGGAAATTAAGGTAGGCAGAATGTAATTACCCAACCCGGAATTTGGCCAAGACCTCAGAATTAGACACTAGTCACCTACCACTATACAAAATCTTTTCTATGTAGCATCATCACCTTAAAGGACAAATGGAAAGAAGGAAAAAAAGGTGAGGGGGGGCAAGGAGGGAATAATGGTAGTTGTTAAATGTTGGAATACTGGCAGAATTGGTACATTCCCTGGGCTGCTGATGGACATCTAAAGTTCTATCAGCCTGATTAGATTTCTTTCAAAACATGATTACTTCAAGCAGGCGTTCCAACAGAGTCAGCCATCTAATTCACATAATCTGCCCTTAATTTCACTGTTTTGCAAACCTAATAAGCATCCATTGTTGTGTGGCTCCTATGGATAACTGTTTACTAAACACACATGAAAAATTCCAATGTCCAGGAAAAAATGATGGGACTTAGTGTGGCCATGGGATTGGATACTCGAATGGGCATCAGGGACTGGGTTCTATTTCCAGCGTTGCCAGTGACGTGCTGTGTGACATAGGACAAGTTACTACACCTTTCTGTTCCTCAGTTTCCACATCTGTGATGGAGATGATACTGACCCTTCCCTACTTTGAAACTGCTTTGAGATACGTGGATAAAAATTGCTATATAGGAGCTAAATGCTGTTATTATTCACTTATCTGTAAGAACCAATTGGGCTTTATTACAGGACGACCAACTGACTGCAATTGTTGTAATACAGTAAAGCTTGAAAGCAGATGCATATTATTTATTTCACATTTTCCCACCAATATGACATTAGATTTTTGCATCATCCTGCCAGAAACATCAACACACAATTCAAATATTAAGAATTTGGGGGCTGGGACTATCATTTATTAATATCCTCGTGCACTGCCTCGCACAGCAGAGTCCAACCTGCTTGTGGCCTTTAAGTACCACTGCAGTATAAAAGTTAAATAATAATGAGAGATGGGCCTGAACCAAATCCCCAGATAAGAATTCCCCCAAACTGCAGGTAAGTTCTGAGACTAGCCTCGCTCCATACCCAAACTTTGTGATTGGTCTTGCTCTGTATAATGAGCTGAACTAAAAATCTGAACCTGAGCATCCCTTAACTTTGGAGAAATCTGAACCCGAACTAAGTGGCTCAGGCTCGGTTGCTACACGGTTTTGTTTCTTATATAGTGTATGTGTGGAGCTGATGAAAAGGTGTCTCCTTGATAGCTCTTGGAGTCCTTTCTGCCACAGAAAAGGTGCAACACTGGCAATGGCAAAGCAGTCCTGACATTGCCTCACCAAGGGGTCGCTAACCAGGAGGACCGGCTTCCAGAATGGCGAGTTGGACAGTCTCCATGCCTGTTTGATCTTTGACTTCTTTTTTGACATTTCCCCCAAGGGTGCCAGTTGTAGCAGTGTTTTAGTTTTTTATGGCAGAGAGACCAGTTCACTGGGAACTGGATTGCAGTCACCAAACCCATTTTTAGTACAGGCCAAAGCATAGCCACTAGATGCTACCACCACCAATCACTACTAGAATGGATTTGACCTAGAAAATGAGAGATAAAAGACCTATATTCTATTACTAGTCGCCTGAACCACATCTGTTACTACTATAACATTATATCTGGGCTGTTCATATGATTAAATTCTCTCTCTTATGCCCACAGAGCCTTAGTAATGCAGGAATTGGGAGGGCAATAACAGCCACTTCTTCAGCCCCTGAGCTGAAAAATAGGGGTTACAAACCCCAAGCATCCCTTGCATGAGGATTTGTGGCCACTGCATGTGATTGTGGACCCAGTGGTTACACCCCCAACTCTCCATAGGCACATCCGCACTGGTTTGTGTGGATTCCATCGCTGCCACATGCAAGGCTTTCAGAGTCTCCTTGCAGGTTCACTCCAATGGAGCCACAGTGGTTCTGTTGCATTAGGGACCTTTGGTGGCCCCAAAGCAGCTGGGTAAATTTCAGGGTGGGTGAATTTAGTGGCATTATTTACATTACAACTCCAGTTTACTGGAGTTTGGCTTTTATTTTTCTTGTGTCTATACACATACTGTATGCCTAAGAACGTCAGCCAGACTGGCAGGCCAGATGGCTTAAAAAGGGTGGAATTCCAACTAGTGCAACCCCTTTAAACCCACCGATCTGGGCTGAATGTTGAATTTTTTTAAAAATGTGGCCATCAGCATCAGGGCTGAGTTTTTATGAAAAAATCTGGCCCCCATTGTGAATGCTGAGCACTTGAAAATCTGGCCTTGGATTATTTCTTCCACAAGATTATAACAAAGGAAGTTGCAACACTATTAAAAGACCTGGGGAAATGATTTGATTCATATCAAATTGTTTAACTTACTGTGGGAATTTGGTACAGTTTTATCAACTGGATTCCAACAGTTTATGCCAACCACCAGAATTTCACCAGTGACCCAGTGGAAATCTGAGACTGTTAGGGCTCAATCCTGCTCTTTTTTTTCTACCTGAATGGCATTAGGGGCCTAAGGATGCATTAGGGGCTTAAGTCAATGCTTAGGAGCCTAGGGATGTTCCAGTTGGGAGTAGAAATTGGTGACAGTCAGGTATTTCTTTTGATACAGTTTTGTGTATTTACAAAGAATGTACAAAGTGCTTTGTCTCTGAACACAGAAGGAATCAAGTAGCAGGAAGAGGCTTCTTTTGCTCACAGCACCAAGAACACTGTATTCGACCGGCACCACTGATCCAAAAACCTCTCTTTAGGTTCCTTCCTGGGTCAGACACCGTGTTTTCAGCTGCTCCTTCTGGCTGTTTGGCTGTTCCTCCGTCTCCCAGTTTTTGTCTAGTCTGCCTTCTCTCTCACACACCGGCTCATACCAATACCCAGTGCAACCCTCCACCCACTAGCTAGTGCTAGTTTCTGGGCAGACGCTATTAGATCTTGTTTTAGGTGTGGCCCTTTAACTGTCTCTTACAACTATCTTAAGTGTTGGGTGTGTTCACACAAATTTTAACTCAATGCACAACAAGGTTTCACCCAGCTCCTAATAATATCAAAATTCTCAGGACTGGGCCTTACTTGAAGCTTTGTAGCACTCAGAACATGTGTACTCCCTTACTACAAGAGGAGCTGCATTTCTTCAAAGGGATCAAATACTGAAATGCACCTGTCCCAGGGTTTTCTGGACTCTGCTTCATGTTATGCCAGTGACATTTTGCATTACTGGAGTTTGGCTTATTACAAAGGAATTGGGGGCAGTTTTCAGAATGAGGGAGAGGAATAAATTAGACCAATGATCAGCTAAATATGAGGGGCCAAATTCTGCTCTCAATTTTATCCATGTAATTATACCCAGTTTTTTTCAATACAGTTGCATGGGTATAGTTGGGAACAGAATTTCTAAAAAATGAGGCAGTTTTCACTGTTGTTTGGGGCTGAGAATTAGGAGTTTTGGATTCTCCTCCTATCCCTGTAACTGGCTTGCAGAGTAATTTTTGGAGATTCAGTTTTTAACCTTTGTGTTCTGAGTCCTCATATGTAGCACGGGAGTGATAATACTAAACCACGTTTCCTTAGTGATCTGATTTCCCCTGATGAATGGTTAGTATCAGTAATAAAAACAGTATGAACAACAATTAGCCATGGCAATGGCTGAGTAGGAGAAGCATACAGCTGGTCAAGTTGTATCACATGAAAGATCCAAGCAGATAAACAAAATATTCTGAGCAGCTGTAGTGGTATTTTGGGAGCTTTCGTCTTTTTTAGGGGATAGGGTAGAGACAAGACAGTCACATGGTATCATCCATGCTATTATAAATCAGCAAAGAACCACTGACTAAAACAGATGGGTTGTGGTCAGTTATTTCTTTGTACGTCATCGTGAACCAGTGGTCTCTGTGTGGTGCTCCATGACAGGAAAAGCCCTAAGGTAGTCAAGTGGGGGTGATGCCATATATGTCACCAACTATTCAAAAGAACAGAGAGATTAATTGTAGTGCAGAGCACAGAGAACACCTCTGTGAATTATGTCATTCTAATTGGAGTAAAGCCATGTAAAGCTACCAGAGGAAGAGGACTTCCGTACTTCCCAAATATCTTTGCTAAGTTCTCATTCCTCTCCTGCTGCTCCAGTCACATTGCCTCTCAGGCTGAATATTTTCTTTTCCACATATGGCAGACTGAATATTTCACTGTAATGGTCCATGATGTTCACATTGTTTGACCTTCTGCCTACTGCTGATGTTCCTGCCTGAAATTCTTTCTAAGGATAATATAAACTCTTGATCAAGAAGGAGTCCGGTGGCACCTTAAAGACTTAACAGATTTATTTGGGGATAAGCTTTCATGGGTAATAAACCCACTTCTTCAGATGCCTCAAGATAAACTCTTGATAAGTTTCAGATCTTGCAGAATAAAGACCCTGTGTGAATAAAAAGAATATGCATTATTTTCAGTGGCAGGGAAGGTCTAAATATAATTGGATCAACATTTATCCTCTATTTTCCTCTCAGTAGTTGACTATGCCACCCCTACTCCAATTCACTAGACTGGCTTCCTCTTTCCTTCTGCATCAAATTCAAGGTTGTGCCCAACTACATGACTGTTTACACCTCTGCTTTTACTTCAGCCTGCACAGCCTTCTAGACTTTTGCATCCTTTTCTTCTTAATGCACCCTTCCATCTTTGGTTTTCACCTTCTTTTAGGCTGCCTCCTACACTGGGCGTAGTCTCTGTTTTCCTGTGCACCAGCCACATTCTCTGTCTTCCTTCAAACTCACTTTTCCATTACCTTGCTACAGCACTCTCTCACTGACTATGTGTCCATGTCTTCTTGTTTTTTAGACTGCTCTCCCCAGTGGCGTAGCCAGCTTCTAAGAGGAGGGGGAGCAAACACAAAAAAGGCACTCCCCCTTGGCTCCTCCTCTGGCCACGCCCCCTTGGCTCCTCCTCTGGCCGCTCCGCGCCCCCCCCCCGGCTCCTCCTCCGGCCGCACCGCCCCTCCCCCCCATGGCTCCTCCAGCCCTGCTGTGCCACCCCCGTGGGGCTCCTCCAGCCATGCTGTGCCCCCCTCGCTCCTCCGGCCGCGGCTGTCGGGCTGCGCTGCAGGCCGCATGCCGCGCCCCCCCCGCTCCTCCGGCTGTGCCCGCTGCCCCCCCATGGCTGCCGGCCGCGCTGCAGGCCGCCAGCCTGCGTCCCCCATCGCTCCTCTGGCCGCAGCTGCCGGGCTGCGCTGCGGGCCGCATGCCGCGCCCCCTCCCCCTGCTCCTCCGGCCGCTTTTGGAAAGGCAGGGGAAGCGGCTGCTTCCCCTGCACCCTGCTAGCTATGCTACTGCTCCTTATTGTACTTGCATGGTTAGGCTGTAAGCTTTTCTGGGGAGGGATCTCAGGTCAGACGCTTGGGTGCAGCCAAAGTGCACAGAGGGCAAAACCGGGGTCACTGCAAAGGTGACTTAAAGCAGCGGGCTCTCAACATTTCCAGAGTACTGCACCCCTTTCAGGAGTCTGATTTGTTTTGCATACCCCCAAGTTTCACATCACTTAAAAACTACTTGTTACAAAATCGGACATAAAAATACAAAATGTCACAGCACACTATTTCTGAAAAATTGCTGACTTTCTAATTGTGACCATATAATTATAAAATAAATCAACTGGAATATAAATATTGTACTTACATTTCAGTGTATAGTATACAGAGCAGTATAAACAAGTCATTGTCTGTATGAAATTTTAGTTTTTACTGACTTTGCTAGTTTTATGTAGTCTGTTGTAAAAGTAGGCAAATATCTAGATGAGTTGATGTACCCCCCTGGAAGACCTCTGCATACTCCCAGGGGTAGCGTACTTCTGGTTAAGAACCACTAACTTAAAGTTCTCCTTAGCTCTGCCCCGACCCTTGTGATGCTCTGTACACTCTATTCTATTCAGGCTCTTAGATTTCACTGTAGTATCTTCGCGCTTTCCAGTAGTGCATTAAGTGATGCAGCTAAAATCTGGCCCATTTGTTCTCTCATCTTCTCCCCAAGGGGAGAAGTGCATGCAGTGGGCTGTCTTGTTTTGGATTTTTATTTATTTTTTATAATGTATATGTACACATGTTGTTATATGTTTAGGTCAGAGGTCAGAGAAGGCAAAGCCTGTCAGAGACTGGGACATGGGCAGTTGTGCCTAGTGGTAGGAACAGGAGTCATGCTTTGTGATTAGGAGCCAGGAAGGAGCACAGGGTCAGAGCCCAGAGTCAGAGGTCAGGAATCAGAGCCAAGGGTCAGAGTTGAATTACCTAGGCTATGGCTATACTACAGAGCTTACAGTGGCTGCTGTAACACTGTTAGTGCAGACGCTCTAAGCCAATAGGACAGAGCTCTCCCGTTAACTTAATTACTCCAGCCCCCGTGAGTGGTGGTAGCTATGTCAGCAGGAGACGCTTTCCTGCTGACATAGCACTGTCTACACTAGCGCTTAGGTTGGTGTAATTTACATCGCTCAAGGGGTGGCTTATTCACACCCCTGAGCAACATAACTTATACCAAGGTAAGCTGTTGTTCGCACCTGGTGCTAGAGTGAGGCAGAGCTATCACCACCATGAGCAACTGCTTTGAGCAGCCACCAGGCTTAAGAGCTGGTTTGTTGACTCTTCCAACCAAGCAGGTGGAGTAGCCAATCAGACAGCATACTACAGGCCAGCTGTGCTTGTTAGTTTTCCTGGAGACCGACTCTGCTGCAGCCCCTGCTTCCTGACAAGGTCAAAGAAAGGTAACTTGCACTTGGAGCAGAAGACGCTGAGGTTTGTGATGGTCTTTAGTTCCTGGGGAATTTTATTCCCCTGTCTTGGATTGGCCCCTGAGAAAGCTCTGTCATGGCCCTTGAGCCTACATTGTGTTCAGGCAGGCTGCTCCAACGTACACCAGGCTTAAGGTGACCAGACAGCAAGTGTGAAAAATCGGGACAGGGGGTAGGGCGTAATAGGAGCCCATATAAAAAAAAAAGCCCCAAAGAATTAGGACTGTTCCTATAAAATCGGGACATCTGTTCACCCTAGTTAAAACTAAACAAAGTAAATATCACTGCTGTACCTTGCAGTCACTAGCTCAGTTTCCTGGTGGCACGGAGTTGTTTCAAACTTTTATCTTTCATGTTTATTTTGGCATAAAATTTCATTGGGATGTTGGCACGGAACTTGGCATGAAATTCAAGACCACTCTTAAAGTACTGTGTATTGATTCCCATCATTGCCACTGTATGCGTGTATATGCTGAAAGAGAGGGAAAATACAAACATGCATAACCATATACGTTGATAAATATATACTTAGAAAGCACACTTTGAAATGTAGAATTCCCTGTATATAAATATCTTTTTTGGAAATCAGAGTTTGCGACTATAAGAGGAAAAATGGCCATCAATCTATTGACAGACAAAGAGATATACCACATATGTGGAGGTGAGATCCGTGTGACAAATTGCAGAGTCATGTGCTAATTTAACATGGACTGTTAGACCTCCTCACCTGCCCTCTTCATTTCTAATCCATCACCCCAGTTCTTATTCTAATATTAGAACACCCTGAGCTCTTTCAAACAGCTGCTATTTTTAAAAAATCAACTAGCTCCACAAATATTTCTTCTCCTCCCCACCCCCCAAAATTACACTAGCCTGAGGCCCAGGATGACCATATTTAGTGTTGCACCAGTAGCAGCTTTTTTCTATGTAAAATGTCATGACTTTACATCTGATATCACTCATCCCTGAAGGGGCAGAAATAGAAGCTTTATGGGAAGTGGTAGAATCCCAATTTGGATCCAGCACACACTGATAGCACTGCAAGGTCTGGGATAACATGACATTTTTTAGGCATAGAAAAGCTATTTTGTGTGTTGTTTAGAGATATTTATATGGTTCGCTTTGAGGCCTGTACAGCTGGATTAATGATGACTAAGTCACCCAGCAGTGTAGGCACAAAACACCGTAATTCCAGGATATTTTTTTAAATGCTCTGTAATGTATGTGGCAAGTATAGAACATGATGTAGTATGGAATAAAAGGTTTAACAGCACCTATTTGGATTGACCTATATAACTTACACATGTCTTCACCCTCGTGAATAATTCAGCTATCCCAAATCCCTGCCAATAAAATTAGAGCATACCATCATATTTATATACATATATATCCTACTTTTCCTCACCTTGGGTTGATATCAGCATGAAGTTGCACATTGGCATCAAAGAACTGCAAAGGTTTAAAACTACCAGATAAAGAGGGGGACATATTTACACCAACTGTAAGAGATAGAAAAGAATTATAGCAATGGCAAAACAATAAATTAAGGGTTCCAAATCGACAGTTTTGTTACAATAATAGTAATTAGCACTTAGGTACACCATTTCATCTTCAAAACACTTTACAGAATTAAGAAGGGCCCAGTTTTACCCTTGTAGTGCCCACTAAAATGAATCAGGAGTGACACACCGCTATCCAAGGCCTTGGCTACACTTGCAGATGTACAGCGCTGTGAGTTAAACCTGACTTCATGCAGCTGAGTAGGGAAAGCGCTGCAGTCTGTCCACACTGACAGCTGCCCAGCGCACTGTCGTGGTCACATTTGCGGCAATTGCAGCGCTATTGGGAGCGGTGCATTATGGGCAGCTATCCCACAGAGCACCTCTTCCCATTCTGGCGCCGTGGGTTGTGGGAAGGGGGCGTGGGTGTGGGGGATTTTGGGTCCTGTCCCAATGCCCCGTGATGCATCGCTTCGCATCCCAGAAATCCCTTTGTTTCCATCCACCTTTGGCGCCATCTTTCAACAGTTTCTGAGCAGCGCGATCTGTCTGTGGGAAATGGAGCCCGAACTGCTGAGGTGTATGCTGATGAGTCTCGCCAGCACGTCACATTTGGCTGTCAAACTATTCCTTAAGATCCAAAGTGACAGTGAGAGTGAGGAGTCCGACGATGCTATTGAGCCGCATAATGCGTACGACACGAAATTGCTTGTGGCATTCACGGACATGCTCAGCACCGTAAACGCCGCTTTTGGGCTCGGGAAACAAGCACCGAGTGGTGGGATCACATCGTCATGGAAGTCTAGGATGACAAGCAGTGGCTGCAGAACTTTCGGATGAGAAAAGCCACTTTCATGGGACTGTATGAGGAGCTTGCCCCCACCCTGCGGCGCAAGGACACGAGATTGAGAGCTGCCCTGCCAGTGGAGAAGCAGGTGGCTATTGCAATCTGGAAGCTGGCAACTCCAGACAGCTACCGGGTCGGTCGCAAACCAGTTTGGAGTGGGAAAGTTGACCGTTGGAATCGTGTTGATGCAAGTTTGCAAGGCCATTAATCGCATCCTACTCAGAAGAACCGTGACTCTGGGTAACGTGCAGGAAATAGTGGATGGCTTTGCACAAATGGGGTTCCCTAACTATGGAGGGGCGATAGATGGGACGCACATTCCTATTCTGGCACCACCCCACCTAGGATCCGAGTACGTTAATCGGAAGGGGTATTTCTCTATGGTTCTCCAGGCACTTGTGGATCACCGTGGGCGTTTCATTGACATTAACACAGGCTGGCCTGGAAAGGTGCATGACGCACGCATCTTTCGGAACACTTGGCTGTTCAGGAAGATGCAGGCCGGGACTTTTTTCCCCAGAGCGGAAGATCACGGTAGGGGAAGTTGAAATGCCCATTGTGATCCTTAGAGATCCCGCTTACCCGTTAGTGCCGTGGCTCATGAAACCCTACATAGGGAGCCTTGACAGCAGCAAGGAACGGTTCAACTACAGGCTGAGCCGGTGCCGAATGACTGTGGAGTGTGCCTTTGGCCGTTTAAAGGCCCGCTGGCGATCTCTGTATGGGAAGCTGGACTTGGCCGAAAACAGCATCCCCGCGGTTATATCCGCGTGCTGTGCCCTCCATAATATTTGTGAAGGGAAGGGTGAAAGCTTCACTCAGGCATGGACCTCTGAGGTTCAACACCTGGAGGCTGAATTTGCACAGCCAGAGAGCAGGGCGATTACAGGGGCACAGCGCGGGGCTGCAAGGATTAGGGATGCCTTAAGGGAGCAATTTGAGGCTGAAAACCAGCAGTGATATCTGGTGCCCTGCATGGGAGTGAAGTGCAGTAGTTCCAATCTTTAGTAATCAGTGTTTGCTAAGCAGACAAGCAGACTTGCAATGCCTGTTTATTTCCTGGGCTAAGGAGTCTTTTACTTTATGCAATAATAAAGAATGTTTTCAAAGCCAAAAAATCCATTTATTGAAAAGAACAAAAAATTATTTATTGAAAAGAAACAAGGGGGTGGAGTGGGGAACGGTACAATCACAGATTCGCATATGTCCTGTCTGGTGTGCTGTGCAGTGAGTGCTGCACTTCAGGACAGCTATACTGCATGGTGATGGGGGTTGAGTGCAGAGGGTAAGGGTCGTGGTTTTCAAGGCTGGGTGGTGAAGATACTGGTGTTGGAGGCAGCGGGTGGCGTGAAGAACACGGAAGTTGGGGAAAGTGGGTTGGAGGTGACAGTGGGGCACAACGGAAAGAGTTTTGGGACAAGGGCTGTGCGGGGGGTGGCGTTTGCGGTACTGCTCCTCTTTCTGCATGGCTACCAGCTCCTGGATAGCGTCTGCTTGGCGCTCCAGGATGCTTATGAGCCTATCAGTGCTTTGCTGCCGGTGCGCGGTGCTTTGCCGCCGGTGCGCTGCATTTTCCAGCCGGATCCTGCTTTCTCTCTCCCTCCAGTTCTGTGCTTTCTCATTCTCTTTAATAGATTGCCGCATCACTTCTTGCAGCATGTCTTCTTTGCTTTTTCGCGGTCTCTTCCTGAGTCTTTGCAGTCTCTGAGCAGGTGATAAGAGGGACGGCTGAGGTCTCAAGGTTGATGCAGCTGTATAGGCAAAATGCAACATTTAACAGAGGCAGCATTGTTTATACCAGACAGAGTAATGATTCCCCCCGCACTTAAGGAGTAGAAAACACACAGGGTCTACACAATAGCATAATTTTCCCGTCCGAAACAGAGCACACATATCCCACGGGAGCCTCAAAATGGTGAGTAAGGGGGACTGATTGTTTCAGGGCTGCACTGTCCTCTGGGTTTCTGTGCCTTGTGGAGAGCCAACAGCTTCAGGGGGCACCTACACTGAACACTGTCCAAACATTTTCCACAGGAGTTCGTCCTGGATGATATCTTGCTGCTGAGGGTGACCTGGGAAGCAAGGGAGGGTCTTCTACTGCAATGCGGCTTCCGCCCTGGCCCATATGCAATTTGCCTGTGTGCAGCAATGGTCCCCCCGCCCCTCGCAGCACAGTGGCACGGACACGTTAGCCTGGCTGGGACAAGGACCACGGTGGCTCTCCCGATAAACCTGCGCAAGCGCATTGCACACGTTCTGGATGAGACATTCGAGGAGATTACCGAGGCCGATTACCGCGATGTGATAAACCACATCAATGCACTATTCCGCATCTAGGCATGCATGCCTAACTCTCCTCTTCCAAAGAGCCCGCACCGAAAAAATTCCTTCCCGAAAAAAGAAAACCCTTACCGGGAACCTGCTCTTCTGTTTGTCCTCCACCAAGTACCGGCCGCTGCGACTGGCTACCTTCCTCCTGGCTCGAGAAGAGCTCCTGGCTGCATGGCTCCAGGGATTACGGGGTGTCTCCATCTGGCCCACCACTATTACTCCCGTTTTCCTCCTCCTCCTCCTCCTCCCCCCGCCCACCGGCTCTGAAGTGTCCATGGTGGTGCTCAGAGTGGAGGTGGGGTTAACCCCAAGTATTGCATCCAGCTCTTTGTAGAATCGGCAGGTCGCGGGGGGAGCACCCTAGTGGCCGTTTGCGTCACGGGCTTTGCGCTAGGCACTCCGCAGCTCCTTCACTTTAATCCTGCACTGCAGGGCGTCCCGGTCATGGCCCCTTTCCATCATGTCCTTTGATACCTTCCCAAAGGTATTGTAATTCCTACGGCTGGAGCGCAGCTGGGACTGTACAGCTTCCTCCCCCCAAACACTGATGAGGTCCAGCAACTCGCCATTGCTCCATGCTGGGGCTCGCTTGGCGCGTGGAGGCATGGTCACCTGGAAAGATTCGCTGATAGCACTCCACACCACGCTGGGCTGAGCAAACAGGAAGGAGATTTTTAAAATTCCCGGGGAATGTAAAGGGTGGGTCACATGGTTGGTTACCTGAGGCCAGGGCAGTAGAGTTTGAACTGATGACCAGAGTGGCTAGAACAGGCATTGTGGGATACTGCCGAATAATTCTGGAGGCCATTCACAGCGCATTGGGCAGCCACACTGGCGCCGCAGCGCTGCAGCGGCAGCGCAATACTCTCTATTCCTCTCAGAGAGGTGGAGTACATGCAGCACTGCAACCACGGAGATACAGCGCTGCAAATGCCTTGCCAGTGTGGACGGGGAGTGAGTTACAGTGCTGGGGGAGGCTTTACAGCGCTGTAACCCCCAAAATGTAGCCAAGGCCTAAGGGCAGCATTTATATCCCAGCTAATTAATTCTCACACCACATATGACGTAATGATGTATTACTACCTCCATATTAGAAATCAGGAACCTGAGACAAAGAAGGTAGGTGACGTGCCAAGACTACAGCAGGATTTAATGTTAGACCAGGGATTAGAACTCTGAAATTCCTATGTGTTGAGGTGAAACCATTAAACTCACCGTTGACTGCAGCATGTATCAGACCAGTACTATATAAACTGAGTTCTAGTGGCAGGCCAACACAGGTAGGGACAATGTGCCAAACTTCTCCTGCCAATATTGCCTGTGTCCATTGTCCTGCAATGCCTCTTTGGATTTGATTGATCACATTCTTCACTAACATGTGCCTTATCTGATGTTTCAGTCAGAGCCTACAAAGGGACAAAGATCCAGAAGGTTAAGTGGAGGGAGCAGAGGGGCAGGGAGGAAACTGTGAAGCCCCTCAGACAAAACAGAAAAATAGGAGCAATCAATGCCTTCACTGTCTGTTGAATGAGCTCCTTGTTGACGTCAGCAAAGGCGAGCTCATGGCCAAATACGTTTACATAGGCTGATATGAGTGGGTTTTCAGGAGGCAGTTCCTTCCATCCCACAAGCTAGAGAAAAAAAATGTTGCTTAATATATAGGACTGTATTAACAAATACTGGGTCAAATCCTGAGGATGTTACTAGGCTTATTCAGGCAAAACTAGGCTTATTCAGGCTGAGGGCAGTGGGTCGGGTGAGATGATCGGGGGGAGGGGAGGGGCTGTGGGGGAGGCAGAGGGAACAGGGTCGGGGGGCTGAGGGCAGTGGATTGAGGGTGGGAGGCACAGGGGGGACTGCGGGAGAGGCTGAGGGAACAGGGTCAGGGTGGGGCCTGAGGGCAGTGGGTCGGGTAAGATGATGGGGGGAGGGGAGGGACTGTGGGGGAGGCAGAGGGAACAGGGTCAGGGTGGGGGCTGAGGGCAGTGGATTGAGGGTGGGGGGCACAGAGGGGACTGCGGGGGAGGCTGAGGGAACAGGGTCAGGGTGGGGGCTGAGGGCAGTGGGTCTGAGGGGAGCCCCCCGCAGAGGGACCTGCCAGGGGGCCAGGTGAGCCCAGCAGTGCTTACCTGGAGCGGCTCCCAGGAAGCATCCAGCAGGCAGGTCCCGCTCTGGCTCCTAGCCTAGGGGGGTCGCATCGCTGGTGGGTCAGGTCACGTCGAGGGGGGCAGGGGGCAGGGGGGACTCAGTCTCTCTGCCCACTGCCGGCGTCTACAAGCCACGCCCCCCCAGCATGCAGCCGACCTGCGGAGAATTCCTCACTGCCTGCCTCACTCTGTGTGTGCCTCGGGCTGCTGCTGCATTCGGTAGGTTCCTGCTGGCTGGCAGGCGGACGCCAGCTGGGAGCTCAGCTGTGCAGCGCTGCCCCAGGGGCCCCGGAAGAACAAGTGAGTGGCGCCGGTGGCGCCGGCTTGCCGCGGTCCCCCGGATATCGGGACAAAGTGCGTCCCGACCAATGTAAGGTCGGGACGTGGGACAAGTCCCCTAAAATCGGGACTGTCCCGTCAAAATCGGGACATCTGGTCACCCTAACTGGCTTGGGAGGGCACTTCAGTCAGGCTGAGAAAAAGCTCCTGGCTGTTGGGGAGAACGGAGTGCTATGTGCTCTCCGCAAGCTCGTCCTCCTCCTCCTCCTCTTCCCCGTCCGCAGAATCCTCAGGTGTGGCTGATGAGATTACCCCCGCCTCGGAATCCACGGTCAGAGGTGGGTTAGTGGTGGCGGCCCCCCCTAGAATTGCATGCAGCTCGGCGTAGAAGTGGCATGTCTGCGGCTCTGACCCGGAGCGACCGTTTGCCTCCTTTGTTTTTTGATAGGCTTGTCTGAGCTCCTTGACTTTCACGCGGCACTGATCTGAGTCCCTATTGTGGCCTCTCTCCATCATGCCCTTGGAGATTTTTTCAAAAGTTTTGGCATTTCGTCTTTTCGAACGAAGTTCTGCTAGCACTGAATCCTCTCCCCATATAGCAATCAGATCCAGTACCTCCCGTACGGTCCATGCTGGTGCTCTTTTTCGATTATTGGCCTGCATGGTTACCTGTGCTGATGAGCTCTCTGTGGTCACCTGTGCTCTCCACACTGGGCAAACAGGAAATAAAATTCAAATGTTCGCGGGGCTTTTCCTGTCTACCCGGCCAGTGCATCCGAGTTCAGATTGCTGTCCAGAGCGGTCACAATGGTGCACTGTGGGATAGCTCCCGGAGGCCAATACCATCGAATTGCGGCCACACTAACCCTAATTCGAAATGACAATATTGATTTTGGCGCTGCTCCGCTCGTCGGGAAGGAGTACAGAAATCGATTTTAAGAGCTCTTTATTTCGAAATAAATGGCTTCGTTGTGTGGACGGGTGCAGGGTTAATTCGATTTAACGCTGCTAAATTCGAATTAAACTCATAGTGTAGACCAGGCCTTAGTGCTGCTCTAATTTGAAACAGTCTGCAATAGCTCTGCATTGTGGCAGCCAAAGACAGCAGCAGCACTACAACACTCAGTCATGCCCTCTTTCCCCAGCCACCTCCTTAGCTGAGCACCTGCACTTGGAACTGGGAGGGGGGGAGTATACAGCTGAACACACTGACTCTGCACTACCTGGGGATTCCTCCATGCAGTGGGGCCGGGGGGGAGAATCCTTAACTGACTGGTTACACCAGCTTTACAGGCCCTTTGTATGTGGTCATATCAGAGCCAAGAACAGGGTCCTAGGATTCTAGTTGTTCTCTGCTGCCAGTTCATTACATAGGCCTGGATGTATTACTATAACTTCCATTACTATTTAATGCATCTTCCTTTGCTTGCTTGCTTTCCTTCATTTACCTGCAGCATTGTGATAGTTGTGTGACAATCCACTGATCTCTACTTTGCTTGTCAGCCTCAGCCCAGCTCTTGCCAATTCTCTGTCTTGCAGACCATGCAGAATGAAGCCTTCATAGCTGTACAAGCTGTTGCTAAAACTAGGTTCTAATAAAAAAAAAGTAGTTGAAATATCTACTTGTGCTAACATTTTTGTGACATTATAGTTCATCATCATCATCACAACAAAAAGTCACATGCCTGATTCTGCCACCAGAAAAACAGGAGACATCAGTGGGAGATGTACCAGTATATATGATGGCAGAGTTAGGTTCATTAATTAAAAATGAGCAGTAGACTTACCAATGTCATATTTCTGACTCCCTGTGGGGAAAAAAATCAAATGGATATGTGAGACACTGAAAACAACTATTTTGGCTTCACATTTAATATACTGATGTATCCATAAAACTCCAGTAAAGCTTGTGACTAGTGCTTTAAAAATTGCCTAGGGGAGTTCAGCTCCATCTCACGTGAAAGTCAACGAGATTTGGGTGCCTAATCTCTTCAGGCCCCCTCTGAACATCCCAGCCAAGTATTATTGGAAGAAAGGAACTTACCCACAAAAGTGAACACCAGTGCCAGTATGATTCTCCTCATGATGAAGGTGAAAGAAGCTCTCAGGGGAACATGCAGCTTTTATAGAAGAAGAATTATTAACTGGTGGGCACTGCTGGGGTGAATTTTGTTGAGTTATCAACTTTTTATCAAGTTACTCAAACATTTTTTTTCTGATGCTGTTGACTTTTTATTCTGAACTGAAGGTATCGTTGGCATATTCCCACTCTGATCGTTCCACCCAAGCCATTTATACCTTTTGAAAATAACTTTCAAAACAGGGCTTTTTTTTAAAAAGGATCATTTTAAAACAAAATATTTAGTTCATAAGGAAAATTGTTGATGATCCTTATTTTAAGGAAGTTTCTGGTGCTGTAATGTTTGTGATAACTTTGTCCTGGTTAGTCTGACCTGACATAAGGCACAAAAGCTTATCTGATAATGGCTCAGAAGAATTGTGCAAAAAGACCAGACAAGCAGTGTCACAAGGTTGTCATTACCTTAGTAACCATACAAAAAAGTTTCATTTTATGTACTATTTGTGCATATACTAAAGTAACATAGCAATATTAAACTTGCCTAATTGTTACCAAAAAAAAAAAAAAAGTTTCAAAGGGGCCGGGGGCATTAGCAGGCCCCGGCCGGGGGCGCTGCCCTTCCCGCGGAGCCTCCCGCCCCCGGCCCATGCGGCAAGCGGTGGGTCCGGGCCGGGGCAGCGCGGAGCGGGCAGGGGCCGGGTGGGCGGCGCGTGGGCATGGGCCAAATCCCCGCTGCTGCCTGGGAGCCCCGCGCCTCTCCCTCGGGGCTGCGGCTCCTTCCTGGCGCGACGCGCCGCCCGGTGCCGGGGTGCCAGAGCTGACTCACTGGATCCAGGACCCAGGCGCCGCCACCCCCACCCAGGCTTGCACTGCCATGCACCTGTGGTGTGGTTGGGCAAGAAGCGGGGCCAGGGTGGGGATTTGGGGAGGGAGCCAATGGGGGAAGGAGAAGGTGGAGCCGGGGCGGGGATGGGGCGAGAGTCCCTCCGGGAGGGCAAAATTTCTTGTTTGTCCAGTGTCCCGACCAAACATTGGTTGCGACTAGGGTGACCAGATGTCCCAATTTTATAGGGACAGTCCCCATTTTTGGGTCTTTTTCTTATATAGGCTCCTATTACCCCCCACCCCCGTCCTGATTTTTCACATGTGCTGTCTGGTCACCCTAGTCGCGACGCGGGACAAAGAAGCAAATATCAGGACAGCGTCTGGTCACCCTATTTACACGGGGGCGTTACAGCGCAGCACTTTGTTGTGAGCGGCTATTCACACCTCTGTAGTCTAAACTGTGAGGCACTGAAGACTGGCCCTGAGGTGATCTCCTCTGAGCTATTTAAACTGGGTTTATGGCCAAATTAAGCCTACAATGTGATGCAATATACAGACAGGACACCCTTTGAGAATCTTCCCCCTTATCTCATTACATGTGAGATATAGCACTAATACACCTCGATGTATTTTATAATAGTAGTAAATAAAGAGGTATGTGCCCTCCATAAAGTATTTAATACTCAGGAATTTATACTGATTAAAACAAAATAATTTACATCACTTAGGTATTTAAACCACTTCTTCATAGGATAAGTAAAAAACTAACAAAATTGGCCCTTACTCCTTGTCTCCTGGTTAATGCTATTAAACTGATAATCCTCATGCAGGTATAATTATCCTTTTCAAAGCATTCCCACTGATCTGCCTCAGGGTTTTTATAAATCTTTAACTATTGCAATTACCTTTTTTTTATGCAAAAATTAATCTTGAGTCATTACAAATGCCTATCAGAGCAGGAAAACTCAACTTCCCCAATTTTTACAGTTATTATTTGCCAGCCCAAGCAGAATTTCTCATACCATGGTTTATCTAGATAAAATTTTGCACACGCTGAA